TTAGCATGGTGTCGAAATGAATCAAAATTGCAAGCATTTACGACGTTCGAGCTATGTAGAAAAGAGCCTTTCCGCGATGTGCAAAGCGAGAGAGCTGCTATGTCAGGGTTTCTTGGCTTCACCACAACGTCGTTGGGGAGTTCTCCTTTTTTTGTTCGGATTTGTACGCTTCAAACCTTGCAAAGACTGTTTGGACATTTCGACGGTATGCAACACAGGTCAAAAATGCAGGCGCGGGTCGTGTTCATGGATTCATCTGCTGAGCTGTTCCGTAAGGTTTTCCTGGCGTTGGGGCCGTAAGAAAAAAACGACGCTTGCTAGCCGCCAGCAGCACTTCAATTAGCGCAGCAAGCAGCACCGCACACAACAAACATGTGAAGCACTGGGCCCAAACACCGCAAAGAAACCCCAGGCCCTAGTGGGAACGAGGCGTCTTTGAAGCTGCCAGCCCTCTGGGGAGCCTCACCTGTAGTATTGTAGGGTGTAGGGTTTAGGGTTTAGGGTTTAGGGTGTAGGGTTTAGGGTTTAGGGTTTAGGGTTTAGGGTTGACTATTCGAAAACGTAACAGCTTCACGAGAGAGCAGTCGGGCCAGAATTTCCAGAACTTGTACACAGCAGCCCTGAAGACACACAGCGAAGCAAGAGCGTTGTGGACCCTAAGCCTTAAACCCTAAACCCCCCTAAACCCTAAACCCTAAACCCTAAACCCTAAACCCTAAACCCTAAACCTCATGCTACAAGTCTCCGTGTTGGCGTACCGACAGTTGATGCTCCACCTACCAAGGTTGCAGAAACCCGTCTCCAACGCCACACGGTTTAGGGTTTAGGGTTTAGGGTTTAGGGTGTCTTATAAAAAGGACCCTAAAAGGGACCCTAATTTAGAGAACTACCCAAGTGACTCTTCGAGTCGGTTTGTAAGGTTGATGGACAAAAGCCTGCATGACCCTATATACCTAAACTATGGGATTTATGGTACTATACTATCTTTGGGTCATGCAGACTTTTGTCCATCAACAGTAGGGAGACCGCCTTTTAAAAAGGGGACCCTTCTGAACCCTACTTCTGGCTCTCCTAAAAAGGGACCTTGTTGAGAGGGTCTA